CTGTTAACCAACAGTATAATTTAATACCTGTACTGTCATTTGCTGCTTATGGTAGCACAATCGGACAGATTGGGATATGTGATTCACACTGAAAGGATGAAGGGGGCGAGAGACAATGAACTTGGTGTAATGTGAAGTGTAGCCAGATGGGGCTTTCTAACACATATTAAAACACACGTGAGGGCCCGGTGCGGTGGCCTAGTAGCTAAAGTCCTCACTTTGAACACACCTGGGATCCCATGTGGGCACCTGTTCTAATCCCGGCTGCTCCGCTTCCCATCCAGCTCCCTGACTGTGGCCTGGGAAAGCAGTTGAGGACAGTCCAAAGCCTTGGGACCCTGCAACCACGTGGGAGACCTGGAGGAAGTTCCTGGCTCCTGGCTTCGGATCGGCACAGCATCGGCCATTGCGCTCACTTGGGGAGTGAATCATCAGAAGGAAGATCTTCCTCTCTGTCTCTCCTCATCTCTGTATATCTGATTTTCCAATAAAAATTAATCTTCAAAACTCCTTCATGTGGTTTTTGTTGTTGTTGTTGTTAGTAAAGGCTGTGTTATAGATTGATATTTCCCTTCAAATTTAGTAGTTTTGAAGTTTAATGAAGTGGCAGAAGTGTGGATTTCTGCACACCCATCGCAAGCTGTTGTTAAGGCGGCAGATGCTACTTACAGTCACTGTTAGCTGCCCTTGTTTCTATTCACTCCAGCTTCTGACAGCTTTCAGAGAGAAGGCAGCGGAATTCTGTGGCCCATGGGTCATGGTAGTTTCCACTTAATTAGGAAAGGATGGAGGCCCTCAGGTTACATTTCAGTTAAGTAATTCCCCGGCATACCAACCCCCTTCCAGTTCCCTCCCCTACCACCCTTATCAATTGCATTTGAGAAGTATTCAGCGTGCCCTTTTAAAAGCAGTGACATCATAAAAAGGCACATCCCCAACCATCCCCAGGTTTCTATTGTTCTTAGCCTGGATCAGGAGAGCATAATGACGCCCAGTAGTTTCTAAAGTTTATTTGATCCAAGAGTTCCTGAAGTTGATGTTGATAAGATAGAGTCTCAGATCATCCTTCTGGGAGACGCAGTGGGGTGGGCTGAGCTGGAAACCAGCTTTAACAAGTATCTTTTCAGTGTTTTAAGAAGAGGAAAATTTGGGGACTACTAATACCCCTGGTAAACTAATGCACACAGAAGTTGCTGGTAGAGAGGGAGAGCTGTTATTACATGATTCATTTCCCACATGCCTTCCCGATAGCCAGGGCTGGGTCAGCCTCAAGCCTGGAGCCAAGGACTCAGTCTAAGTACCTCACACGGGTGGAGGGACTCAAGCACTTGAGCCATCGCCTGCTCCCTCGCAGGGTACACGTTAGCAGGAAGCTGGAGCCAGACTGAGCCCAGGGATTCGGATAACGAGTGCAGATATCCCAACTAGTATCTCTGTTTTTTATTTTTTTCAACAAAAAAAGTATTTGAAAGGCATATTTATAGAGAGAAGGGTAGAGACTGATAAAGACCTTCTGTCTGCTGGTTCACTCTCCAGATGGCTGTGATGACCAGAGCTGAGCCAATCCAAAGCCAGGAGCCAGGAGCTTCTTCCTGGCCTTCTATGTGGCTGTAGGGAGCCAAGACTTGAGCCATTTCCTGCTGTTTGCTCAGTCCATAATCAGGGAGCTGGATTGGAAGAGGAGCAGCCAGGACTACAACTGGTACCCATATGGGATGCCGGTTCTGTAGGAGGAGGATTAGTCTTTTGAGCCTCTGTGCCACCAAGTGTGCCTTCTCCCCTACAAGTGGTCTCTTAGTAGCTAGGCCCACCTGCCAAGATTAACTTTTAATTATAAGAGGTATGTGATAGCTAGAGTCGGGGGCAACAAGTCTTGCTCAGGGTTTTAGTCTTCCATGCAGTCATGGGTTACTTAATGAGGGGGGCATGCTCTGGTAAATGCATTGTTAGGTGGTGGTGTGTGAATGTCATTGGTTGCACACACAGACCCATATGGCACAGCCTGCCACTCTCAGGGATCCTTGAAATAGATACAGGTATACTTTCCATTCCAAATGCCATTAGTAATCTCTTTTTACTTCTGGTGTTACCACATGAAAGCTTACTGTTTTCTCAAATACTGCTGTTTTGGGCTCTCCTTGTAAAGTTTAACTGCACATTAGGCTTCATCTTGTCATTTACTTGATGTCCCAGAGTCCTCATTATTTACCAGAGAAACAGGTGTAATACAATCTCAAATGTGGTCATAAAACTCAGAGCTCATGCAGGGAAAGTGCTTCTGCACAGGGCCCAGCACATGGCGAACATGAAGTGCATGGTTATTCTTATTCCTATACAGGAACATCTTCATATTGATAAATAAACACAAGTACTTTGCTTTACTCTTTTCCTAAGATACTTAGAAAAAAACAGATCAAAGGTTGTGGCTTTTCTGCCTTAAAGAAATGTATTTTACTTAAAAAAATGATATTTAAAATATCAGTGGTCTGGGCAATAGCAGCTTTTTAGCACATATCTTTTCATAGCCACCAGGGTCAAGACTGAATCAGGAGATTACCAAATGGATGATAAAACTCTTGGCTGTGTGTTAAGGAAGGGTATTAACACAGTCTCATCCTATCGTCTCACAGGTCGTTCCTTAATTATAAAGAGAAAAATGAGTTTTACTTTGAGGAAATGTAGTGGTTATCATTAAGCCAAGAGGCCAAAGTTGCCATCACTAATAAGAGTCAACTTGACTCTTGTGGTGTCATACAATGAGGAGGACATAACATCATGTATATGTTTTCTTGGGGAAAGAAAGAGTCATTTGATTATCAATGAAGGACCAACCAATCACGTATCAGAGAAATCTTAATTGTGTAACAATGTAGAAAATAATTGATCTTCATTCTCAACTAGGTTGATATCATTGGAAGACAAACATTTTTTCTGGGTCCAGCTCTATAACATAGCGGTTAAGGTCCTCACCTTGAACGTGCCACGATGCCATATGGGCACCGGTTCCAATCCCAGCAGCCCTGCTTCCCATCCAACTCCCTGCCTGTGGCCAGGGAAAGCAGTCGAGGATGGCCCAAAGTGTTGGGACCCTGCACCTGCTTGGGAGACCCGGAAGAGGCTCCTGGCTTTGGATTGGCTCAGCTCCAGCTGTTGTGGCACTTGGAAAGTGAGCCATTGGACGGAAGATCTTCCTCTCTGTATATCCACCTTTCCAATAAAAAATAAATAAATCTTAAATTTTTTTCTGAATTAAAAGTATAAGGAGATATTATTATTAATAAAGGGACTATATGATCCTGAGTCATCTTTCGAGGGGGAAAAGCATAGCTGGAAAAATCCTTACTGGGACAACTGGTAAACTTTGATTATGAACTGTATTTTGGGTAACAAAAGCAGAGAGATAATAAGCTGACAGCTCAGTTACCTCTGGATTGAAATGTTCTTTCCTGAAATACTTCACTATGTTGACATCTATATGTAAAATCTGTACATAGTATCAGTGTTGGTTGCATCTCATCACGTTGGATTAGAGCTGCAGTTGGCTCGGAGTCATCTGTGGATAGAGCAATTTGTAAAAGAACAAAGTGGATGCAAAGAGCTAATGCATCCAATTCTGCACAGTATTTGGGACAATATTAACTGCACTTTGGGAGGGCTGGGTAAATGCTAATTGTTGACAATAACCAGCAGAGTCTTAAAGAGGGACTGTGGCTTTATTGATTTTTGGCAATTTTGCCTAATGAGAATGGATTGCTGGTAAAATCACGGAGCATTTCCATTCTCCTTCCAGTAGTATCTGGATGGGAGCGAGCCCAGATATTCCCACCCGAGACAGTGGGGTATTAGCTTCAAATAAGGGGGGAATTACACGGGAGTATGGAAGCCTGGCTGGCAGTCATTAAAGTAATTCAGTGTTCGGGCCGCCCCTGTGTTTCAGGGAGTGATAGAAGCCATTAACAGCTTCCTTTTAGTTTTAGAAGCCAGAGATATTTTCATTACTGGTGTCCTCAGGCACAGACTTTTTAATTTAAAAAAAGAAAGTCAGTTTGGGATGGAAACAGCCCATCACCACAGGAACATCTCTGCTGCAGAAACACATTATAGTTTACCTGCCAATCTTCCCAGCAGGCCAGGTTTATTTTGAGTGTCTGGAATGAGGAAGAGAAAGGAGGGAAGAAGGCTAAAGGGAGGGCTGGTGGAGGCACAAGAGTTGCTAATCCCTTGGAAAGGCTAAGAAGATATTTCCAAGGTGATATTGAGATTTTAGGTTGCCTCCCTCTCTGGCTGACAACGAAGTGATGGTTCTGGCCCTGAGACTTCCCCAATTGCTCCCTGATCCTCACACCTGCTTCTAAGACCTTTCCGGCAGGGGTTACAAGCGCTTTCAAGTTGGTCACCAATTTTTCTTACTTTCCCAACAGCAGGTGGATTTTAGAGTGTGGGCTGGCTCTAGGGCTGCCCTATCAAGAGAAAACAGCAGAAGCACATGTGCAGGTCTAGGCCCAGCCTTCTAGCCTTTTTTTGGAACACTTAAAGCTCAGGGCACTCCTTCTTGGAAGCCAGCTTCTACGCAGGGAGGAGCACAAGCCACATGGAAGCCAAGTGCCTGTACTGGCTGGCAGCCATCTGGGTGAGCCACCTTGGCAGTCAAGTCCAACCTTGCTCTTGGATGACATCACGTGGGGCCAAAGCCAGTGAAGACCACACGCGAGAAGCACAGCGTCACCGGTGGAGAAAACGTGGTAAGCCACAAAGTCTTGGCGTGGCTTGCTCAGTAGTGGCAGACAACTGAAACAGGTGTATCTCTTTGGTAACAAGGAAGATTTCTCTTGGTAACTGGTACAGAAAAGCAAAGTGTGGGAAGTGCCATTTGCTGAGTCGGGAAAAAATGATCTAGAACTGGAGCGACGGCATCCTGCTCCTTCAGGAGCATTTTAACCTCAACACTGGCCCCAACTTTACGGCTCCTTTCTGGCACTCAATACAGTCAATGATAATATAATAAAAAAAAAATTCATTTTAATCTGGCCTTACTCCAACACGTGTGTTTCACACAGACCTTATTTTTTAAACAGAGTTTATTGTATTTAATACATTATAAAATTTGAAAAATTGTAGGAAAGCAGCAGACTCAAACTGCAGCAACTCTAACAAGTAATAATTCTGGCCCCTTTGCAAAACCGATCCGTTTAAAAACAAAGTCAAGTTCACATCTGTGAGGCGGACAACAAAGTGTGACTTCTGTACAAACTACATTTGGAATTTCATGTCTCAACGTCTTTTCAATGCAATGTGCTCAGGAGAGTTTTTCTGAAGTCCCGCCTGGTCCCTGTCTAAAGACAGACATGAAACCTCTGAATGCAAAGAAACTTGATTCAAGATGTCTTTAAAAAAAAAAAAAAAAGGACAAAGGACAAAGAAATGATGGAGGATGGCTGTTGGCAATGGACCTGTAAGGAGACTGTGACCTCCCCGCTCATGGCTTGTTGATTGGTCAGAGGCCCCGGAAGGCCAGCACACGACACGCCATTACAGCACCAACTGGAGCTATTACCTTTTTTCTTTTTTTTTTTTTTCCTTTTTTGCATTTCCTACCTTTTGACATATATATATATTTATATATATTTTTTTACACCTTGAGGATATTGATATTCCAATTGTTCCCATATGAATACAGGTGTGGTCTCTATCGCATAGAAATGTGTCTTTCAATCAGTTTCAGGTCCAGGACTTGGTTTGCTGTTGCAACTGCACACAAATGTCCCTTTTGTGTTATTTGTTGTGTGTTTTTCTTCTTTGTGCATTAGTCCAGGGGCTCCTGCTTTATCCGGATGACAGAAGGTACGCGGGGCGTCCGCCTCAGTTCCCGCCGGAGGACGTATTCGCTGAACTGGGACGAGTCCACGCCTCCCCCGCAGGAGCCCACGATTTCAAAACCTCTTTGTTGTAACCGCTCGAGGACCTGCAAGAAGCCAGACAAGCAGCCAGTTAGGGGTGGACAGGTGCCATGGCCACACGAGGGGCGCGCCAAGGGCTGAGATAATTTACAGCTGTGGTCCATCTCGCTTTCTAACTCCGATGTCTCCATGAAGCTCTTTTCACAGGGAGCCCGGGCAGGAGGGAGGGAGCAAGGATTTCTGAGTCTTACGCTGTGTCCTTACGGGCTGGCTTTATACTTGCCAGTGACAACACCCAGTGATGTTAACCCCACTTTACTGATGAGAAAGCAAAGGCCTGTGGCAAGTGTGATGGACAGGGCTGGCTTCCCAGCACAGGACACAGGTCTCTTTGGCTTCAACCCTCCCATCCCCAACTTTTTTTTTAAAGGTAATATTGCCTTCTCTGGGAAAAATAAGTATGTGTGTGTGTGGGGGGGCGTTCCCATCTCCCTGTTCATTGAGCATGTAAATGTGTTCTAGAAAATGGCGGAGGGCACTGAGATGTGAGTGCACTTAGCTGGTGATTCATCTGGCCCTTTAACAGCGCCACAGTGTGTGTTTCCCAATGCCCAAGTAATATTCCTGCATTTCAGCTTGGAAGATTGAGCTAATTCCAACAGCAGAACGAATGGATTGTTGAAGACAGATGAGGTTTTTAGGCACAGATTTTTGAGTTTGTGGCAGTTGAAATGCACTCCAATAGGGAAAAACAGGTGCCGTGGGGTTATGTTCAAAAACATCCAAAATAAGGATATTCTACACTTCTCATATAAATGACTTTCATTTTGAAATAAAATACCTAATGCCAGAAAGAAATTACATGTATCACTCCACCCCTCATTATCTGTTTGAGAGAGTCCCAGGCCTGGCTGGCCGGGGCTAAGGCTGGGATCTGAGAACTCAAGGGAGCTCTCCCCTGTGGGTGGCGGGAATCCGCTGATGTGAGCCACCACCATCCGCAGTAGCAGGAAGCTGGGGCAGGAGCCTAGGTGGGTATCTAACCCAGGCACGTGGGTGTGGGATGGAGGCACCGTAACCGCTAGCGCCTGTCGCTCTGACACCCTTCAATGCAGGAAATAGAACACGCAACTTTTTTTTTCTTTTAAAGATTTTTTTTTTTTTAATGGGAAAGGCATATATACAGAGAGGAGAGACAGAGAGGAGAGACAGAGAGGAAGGTCTTCCGTCCAATGATTCACTCCCCAGGCGGCCGCAACTGCTGGAGCTGAGCCAATCCAAAGCCAGGAGCCTCTTCCGGGTCTCCCACGCGGGTGCAGGGTCCCAAGGCTTTGGGCTGTCCTCGACTGCTTTCCCAGGCCACAGGCAGGGAGCTGGATGGGAAGTAGGGCTGCCGGGATTAGAACTGGCGCCCATCTGGGATCCTGGGCGTGCAAGGCGAGGACTTTAACCACTGCGCCACTGCACTGGGCCCGAGAGCACGCAACTCTTAAACAGGCAAAAAATATAAGAAACTTATCTCAGACACTGATTCTTTTCAGAACCCAACAAATACCAGACTTGCACATGTTTCCTGCCAGGGTTTGGAGTATAATTAAATTACTTCCATACCCCTTTAAAAAAAGGCAAGATGACTCAATCCTAACTTAAAAAAAAAATAGGGCCTGGCAAAATAGCCTAGCAGCGAAAGTCCTTGCCTTGTACGTGCTGGGATCCCATATGGGCACCGATTTGTGTCCTGGCAAGCCCCACTTCCTATCCAGCTCCCTGCTTGTGCCCTGGGAAAGCAGTTGAGGACAGCCCAAGGCCATGAGACCCTGCAACCTATGTGAGAGACCCAGAAGAAGCTCTTGGCTCCTGGCTTCAGACTGACTCAGTTCTGGTTGTTGTGGCCACTTGGGGAGTGGACTAGTGGGAGGAAAATCTTCCTCTCTGTCTCTCCTTCTCTGTATATGTGACTGTCTAATAAAAAATAAATCTTTAAAAAAATGTAAAAACTACTTGTAGTGCAGTGCTATGTAGTGGGTAAAATCAGCCATCTGCAGTGTTGGCATCCAATATGGGCTCTGATTCATGTTCTGGCTGCTCCACTTTCAAACTAGCTCCTGGTTAACAGAAGAAGGCCTGCGTGCTTGGATCCCTGCACCTGTGTGGGAGACCTGAAGGAAGTTTGTGGTCCTTGGCTTTGGACTGGTCCAGTTCTAGCTGTTGCAGCCATTTGGGGAGTAAACCAGTGGATGGAAAGTCTCTTTCTGTGTCTCTGTAATACTGCCTTTCAAATAAATACATCTTTAAAAAAAAATGCGCTCGGGCCCAGTGCCGTGGCCTAGCGGCTAAGGTCCTTGCCTTGAGCTGTTAGAGTGCTCGCCTTGAATGCGCCGGGATACCATATGGGCACCGGTTCTAATCCCAGCAGCCCATTTTCCCATCCAGTTCCCTGCTTGTGGCCTGGGGAAGCAGTTGAGCACGGCCCAAAACCTTGGGACCCTGCACCCGTGTGGGAGACCTGGAGGAAGTTCCTGGCTCCTGGCTTCAGACTGGCTCAGTTCTGGCTGTTGCAGTCACTTGAGGAGTAAGCCATCAGACGAAAGATCTTCCTCTCTGAATATCTGACTTTGCAATAAAAATAAATAAATCTTAAAAAAAAAAGATCCAATAAGAAAAAGCAGGAGATCCCATATGGTCACCAGTTCTAATCCTGGCAGCTCCACTTCCCATCCAGCTCTCTGCTTGTGGCCTGGGAAAGCAGTCCAGGATGGCCTAATGCCTTGGGACCCTGCACCTGTGTGGGAGACCCGGAAGAAGTTCCTGGATCCTGGCTCCGGATCGGCATAGCATCGGCCGTTGCGCTCACTTGGGGAGTGAATCATCGGACGGAAGATCTTCCTCTCTGTCTCTCTTCCTCTTTGTGTATCTGACTTTGTAATAAAAATAAATAGATCTCGGGCCCGGCGCGGTGGCGCAAGTGGTTAAGTCCTCGCCTTGCACGCCCGGGATCCCATATGGGCGCCGGTTCTAATCCCGGCAGCCCCGCTTCCCTTCCAGCTCCCTGCCTGTGGCCTGGGAAGGCAGTTGAGGACGGCCCAAAGCTTTGGGACCCTGCACCCGCATGGGAGACCCGGAAGAGGCTCCTGGCTTCGGATCGGCATAGTATCGACCCGTTGCGGCTCACTTGGGGAGTGAATCATCGGATGGAAGATCTTCCTCTCTGTATCTCCTCTCTGTATATCCGCCTTTCCAATAAAAAATAATAAAAATAAATCTTTAAAAAAAAAATAAATAAATAGATCTTTAGAAAAAATGTTAAATGCTCTCCTCAAATTTTTAGAATAAATAAAATATTGCTAAAACTCAAAATGCAGTAAATGTAAAGTAAACTCTTAAAAGCTGTGATGTGGATTATCTGTTGCCTGGCAAAAACAGATGAAATAAAAAAATCAAGAGTATTTTTAAAAATGAAACCTCAAATGCTGGCAAAAATTTTAAAAATATAAGTCCTGAGAAAACAAAGTGGACGTTTGACCCTGAAGTGCTCTATTTCTGCAGGTAAATGAGCAACGCGCAGGATGAAGAAAACAACCTAAGCGCAAAATCAAGACGCGTTCCGGTGGGAGGTGAAGAACTCCATCGCTGAGGCAGGAATGCAGTCTGTGAGCAGGAAACAGCCAGGCGAGGCCGGTCCCACCCCTGCTCCGGGATGGAGTCTTAGCCAGGACCAGAAGGACCAGCCTGTGCACCCCCAGCTCTGACCTCCATTCTGTCTGTCAGTGGGGTTGCAGCCACCGACATGCTCAAGCCGTCAGCCCACGGAGCGATTCAGCCAGCTGCAGACCACACGCGTCAGGCCTAGGGTGGCTGTGTGTGTCCTCAAATGGCAAGCCTTTTCCTTGCCATTATTTCCTACAGGACACAATCCAACAACTGTTCAGGTGCCGTTCACATTCTGTCAGCGCTCTAGAGAGGATTTACAGCATACAGGAGGATGTGTGCGGGTTAGTGCAAGATGCTAAACTATTTTCGCATAGGACTGTAGCCCCTGGAGGTTTTGGCATCTGGGCGTAGGGCTGGGCTGTCTTGGAACCAACCTCCTGGGGTCACATATTCAGTATGATCCAATGTGGTCAAAAGCTTGTATTAATGTAATGCAAATAGTGTGTGAAGCCACTGCCTTCTATATTTAGTTTTTAAAAACACTTCTTGAAAAGCAGAGTTACAGAGGAAGAAAAAGGTCTTCCATCTGCTGATTCACTCTCCAAATGGCCACTCTTCAGGGTCTCCCATGCCATTATCTGATGCTTTCCCAGGCATATTAGCAGGGAGCTGGATCAGAAGTAGAACAACCAGGACTTGAACCAGCGCTCGTATAGGATGCCAGTGGCTTTACCCAGTACACCACAAAGCTGGCCCCAGTCACCGATTTTTAAAATATCAATTTAATGGCAAAAGTCTTTTAGTTTAATCAGTTGAGAATGTCAGCAACTCTGGGGATACTAGCTGTCCGACGCCTTATCCCGCCTTATTTGTGGTCCCCAAGTGTCAACAAGCCTGTTCTCATTTCTACGTTGATGGAACAGGAAGCAGGAGTGGCCCATGGCCAAGTTGTACAGGAAAGGTGTTAATCCCAATGAAATTTCCACACTCGATGTGGGAAATGTGTCAAGCATATGAACTGATGATGGTGGTTATTCATGGACCCAGGGTGTGGGGCCGAGGTGTTCCAGTCCCAGCTTTCCTGGTTCTGCGCCTGCAACCACGCTAGGCGAGGGCAGGGGCAGTGTGGGTGTGGCCTAGGAAAGACTTTCTGGGCGGTAAGTCTTCCATTATTTGGAGCAGGGGCTGCTTGCGGTCACTGGGCAAGGCAGTGCAAGGGTGCCACACAGCTCCGGGGGTCACCATCCACATAGGTATAAATGCAACTCAGAGGCCACCTGCTACTGGGATACCTTCCTCTGGTACACCAAACGGTATTTTCTGCTTTTCTGCCTTCACAGCCTCTTCAGAAATATGAGAAGTATAAATAGTTAATGGAACAATCCTCAAGAGGCTGCCTGGCTTAGCTGGGCTTCTAGTCTGTGCTCTGGGAAGCAGGTTTGTTGGCTAAATATAGAACAAAGGCATGGGTTCACTCTGATTACAAAGAGGTGCGGGCGACAGGTGTCTGGGCTTAGTGGTGAAGACACCTGCATACTGTATCAGAGACCCAGGTTTAACTTCCGGCTCTAGCTCCTGACTCCAGCGTCCTACTAATGCGGGCCCTGGGAGGCACTGGTAATAATTGAAGTATGTGGGTCTTTGAGCTCTCTCTGCTTTTCAAATCAATAAGAGGTGGGGAACAAGAATCCTCACCCCGCTGCCTCCGGCAGGTTGCGTATCACCAGCTGCAGTCAAGCTGCAGGTGTGCCTCTGTTTCCTCATCAGCAAGACGCGATTAGCAGCGCTGACCTCTGCCGATGCTTGCCGGGCCGTGGCCCTGTACTCAGCGCAGGCTGCCAGCACCATTGGCACTGGAGGCATCTGGCATCTCCCGCGGTGTAACTCAAAAGTTCTGAATTCCACTCGCAGATCTCCTCCCCCACCTAAGTGATGGCAATGCCATCACCCACTTCCTTCAAACGCTGCAAGCGTCCTGGGCTTGTCCTGCAGTCCACACAGGCCCTGGCAGGAGATCCTGGTAGTGCTATACTTAAGACACTCAGACCGGGTACTTCTCTGGCTGGAACCACAGCCTTCTGACCATACTCCATTCCTCTGCTGCGTCCCACAAGCGGCCGGAGCCCTCATTCTAAAGTATGAACTGAGTGTGGTCACTGTTTCGCCTGACAGTTCTCCAATGACTTTCTGTTACAACGGCTTTCTGTTCAACTCACATAAGCAAATGAACCCGAACCGAAAGAAAGCAAATTAGTGGAGACCTACTGAGTTTAGCACTCTTAGTGTCTCTGCACGACCTGTTCCTGCCTGGTCAGCCTTGTCCTGGGTCCCAGAGCTTGGGCCCCTTGATTCCTTTTCCTCAGGCCACACTGGCTTCCTGTGGCTTCTCAGCATGCCAGGCACTCTCCCAGCGCCTGGTCCTGCGGAGTTTATGCAGCCTTCTGGTTGGAGCGTTTGACCCTCCTCATTACCTGGCAACATGTTGATTGGCAATTGCCCCTGGTTCCATTCCTGTCATAAAGGCTGCATGAACACAGCTCCAGGGTTCACCCCAGCCCCCCGGCATGTAGCAGGTGTCCAGTGAAGATGTGCAGAATGCCTACCACACAGGGGTCCTAGTCTGTCTGTCCTGCAGCAGTGTTACCGCACGAGAGCTTCTCAGCTGTGCAGAGCAAAGGCAATGGGTGAAGGCGAGGGTAAGGGGTGGCATTCAGCGTGCCAGTGGGTGCACACCCCACACAACGCTGCTGTACCTGGACCGAGTTGAGGTGACAGTAGCCGTTGAGTGGAAACCTGATGACGTGCGTGGAGTCATGGTTCCAGCCCGCATTGACGGAGTTACACATCACGTCACCGATCTCCGGAAACACCTCTTCAATCAAGGACTTGTCCCCGCTGAGCGTGATCCTCTCTCCGAGGTCAGGGGCCACGCGCACCACCAGGCACTCACAGGGCCGTGCAAAGCGGCCGCCTTCTCTGTCCTGCTTCCATCTTTCCATCTCCAGCAACATGGGCTGCAGCTGAAAATACTTTGCCTCTTCGTATAACAAAGTGTAGTCCTGGAAAAGGAATGAGGTATGTCACGGTGCGAGATACGAGCGGAACGGCGCGTGCCCACACTGACTGAGCGCTGATCTTTCTTTTTCACCTCCAAGATTTCAATAGTCAAGTTTGAGTGTAAAATTTTCATGGAAAACCTGTTAGTAAAGACTCAATTTGCATTCATTTCATCCATTCAGGGACGACAAAAGAAGCTGAGGGTACTGGGATCAGGCAGGTGCCTTCTAAGTGCTTTATAGGAATTGAATCTTGTAAACTGTCAGAATTGCCTAGGGAAAGAGCCACCTTTTTTTTTTTTTAATAGGATAATGATCTGTTGGAAAGAAGTGACACAGAAAGAGGAATGAGCAAAGAAATGAGGCAGATCTTCCATCTGCTGGTTCATCCCCTGTATGTCTGCAACAAGCTAGGGCCAGGCTAGGCTGCAGCGAGGAACGTGGAACTCCACTGAGGTCTCCCAGGGGACTGCACCTTGAGCTGTCACCTGTTGCCTTCCTGGTGCATATCAGGAAACCGGATCAGAGCAGAGTGCGATTGAATCCCAGGTGCAGGCATCCCAGGCAGCAGCTTAGGTTGCTATACCACAACACCAGCGCGCCCCCCCAAACCACCACTACTCCCCTTTTACAGATGAGAAAACTGCCATGTGACTGGATTCACCCAACACAATCTCTTGCTAGACAAATGGCTCTTGGAATGTTCAAGTCTGAGTGTGTTGGTAAGAATCCACTGTGTGTCTTCACACATGGAGCATCCACAACTGTTCACACTCGCTGCTCACCAGAGGCCCATGTGCCTCCTAAGTTTCAGTGACAGCTAGAGAGCTCTCCCTGGGCGTGGGGTGTGGGTGGCCATCCGTGGAGTGGGGCTGTGGAGGGGCACTGCAGGGAAAGCTCTTGGTTTATACTTAAGCTCAGGTAGAGCTTGGGGATGTGAGGGCAATCAGGAAGGCCAGCAGCTTCTCGATGCCCTCAGACACTCGCTGGTGCTGCCAACAGCTGAACCTGCAAGTTACAGGTGCCAGAAGCGAACCTGTCCATCTCTAACAGCACTGCCCCCAGGCTCTTGCCAGGGTTGCTCTGTCTCCAGTGTCAAAGACAAAAAACAATCATATTCAAACAGAAATCCAACAAGCAGGGATCACCACACAGACCACACCACCCAAGGAGAAGACAAAGGGGAGATGACGGGAAGGCAGCAACAAGGGAGCCGCATTGACAAGCAGGCCAATATTATGTGTGAAGGTAGCTATGGTCACAATCACTTCTGGGTGTGAGATAAGTGGGTGCTTGTCCAGACACGTTGATCGAGGCTGTTCTAATCAACTGACACAGGCATTTCTGTCTGCGTTCCCTGGGCTGGAGCTGGCAAGCTGTGCCAGGTGCTGGCATGAGAGCCAGTGTTGGAAACCCATGTCCCGAGCAGTTCTAAGACAGGGAATGGAGTGAGAGAAGCAGCGGATGACCCAGGGAGAACTATTTTGATTTGTCCCTGGACTTATTCTCTAGCAAATCAAGCAGCGATGACATTATCCAAGGCTTCCAGAGAAAACAGAGTGGAGAGCCTGGGCACAGGAGGCTCCCTCGGCTTACCCGCTTTCTGCATTGAGAAACCTGGGCCTGGTGGAAGATGCTGGATGGTCACCACTCCTTAGCAGATGAGCCTGACAACCAACTCAAGAAAGGAATGCAGAGCTCTGATCATCTTCCTAGCACATGTTTCTACCTGCTCAGCCTCCTGCCCTGCAGGGAGTTGGGAACTAGGCTGAGGTGTGGCCACTGGTAAGCCATGGGAGCCCCAGTGAGCCTACGGCGTGGGAGTGGGAGACGCTGCAGGTTCCTCCTGGGAGCTCTACCACGGGGCCGTGGCGTCTTTGACAGCTGTGAGATACTGACCTAAATACTTCACTTATCTACCAAGTGATAGCAATTGAGGCGATTTGAACACAGCATTGAGAGAGTTACATGAGCAAGGGAAGTGAGAATTTCTGCTACTGTATTTTACTTTCCTGTGAGTTTAATGACAAATTTTAGCACCAAGAAGGATTAAGACTCCAGGGACAATACTAAGATGTCTTTCAAGAGTTGTCACCTCCTCAACTCGTAGTGTAAAGGGGCTCAGAGTGGTATGGCCACACTTGCCGAGGTGGCACAATCCTTTTTGACATCACCCAACTGTGACCGTTTGGCCTTTGGCTTCTGGCAAGCAGAAGTTCATTGCCAAGGAACACACAGCATTTGCCTGATTGGCAGCTCTGAGAATTCTTGCGAATGCCTTCACCAACAAGACCCAAGCCTCTGCGTGACGCCAGGTTCTGGGTTCTAACTCTGCTCTCAGATCAGCGTGTTTTGTACCTTCCATTGACATGCTACCTCTTCAGACTTAAAGCTTCTAATTAAAACACAATACAGCAAAACGAAACAAAATGTAAGCATTAATTTTAATTTAAAAAAATATTTTATTTGGAAAGGTAGATAGACACAGAGAGATATCATCTACCCCACGATCCAGTCCTTCAGTACCTGCAAGAGCAAAGGTTGAGCCAGGCTAAAGCCAGCAGAACTCCATCTCCCACATGGGTGGCCAGGGCCCAAGCCCTTGAGTGCTCACCCGCTGCCTCCCAGGAAGCTGGGCTGGAACCAGCAGGACTCGAACCAGCACTCTGATGTGGGATGGAGCCTAGAATTTCAGATGTGATCAATTGAATGCATTACAAAATTCGTGTTTGGCCAGACATTCTGTTATTTAAAAAAAAAAAAAAAGATTTATTTGAAAGGGAGAGTGACTAAGACAAACATCATCCATCTACTGGGTCCTGAATGCCTACAGCAACTGGGACTGGGCCAGGCCAAAGCCACGAATGTGGAACTCCACCTGGGTCTCTTATGTGCGTGGCACTTGTGCAACCACCTGCTGACTCGCAGGAAGTCACATCCCAAGAAGCAGCTTAAGCTGATGCACGATAATGTCCAAGCCTCTAACTACTGTCAGCAGAGCCTGCATTCGTTTTCTATTGCTACTGCAACAGCTCAACACAAAAACTCACTCTTTCACAGCTTTGTGCAAAGAAGACAGGAGTCTCCAATGTGTCTTCAGGCCGTGCTGTTTCTGCTCTGGGGGCCATGCACTTCCTTTCTTTTTCAAGCCCCCAGAGACTGCTCACAGTTTTCAGCTCACTGTCCTGCATCACTCCTACCTCTGCTTCTCTTGCCATCTCACCTTTTTTCAACCAGACCCTTTTGAATGAATAGGAAGGACCCAGATGATGATACGACAAAAGCAGAAAACCCAGGATCATCTCTTCTTCTTAAGACCTTTACCTTCATCACACCTGGCCAACCCCAAATGAAGGGGGTGGGGAGAGGGAAGAGAGAGAGAGAGACAAATGACAGCCAACTCCAGCTCATTTAGGCCTGTAGAGGACGTCAACTGCAATGTCAGAGGATGGGAAGCCAAACAGGTTGGACAACTCTCCTGGCCAAGCTTTGACAGTAATTGTTTGGGCAAGTGGATGCACTAAGGTGGACTCTGTCAGCTAATAGACCTTGGAAAGATTTTTCTCAACCTTGGTGCAATGAAACCAATGACGTCTCACAACTAACAGAACCATTCAAGTAATACCTTCAGAACGTTTTTCTCCATGTCAGAGTTGCTAAGATGACATCAAATGGCCATCCCCCATTCTTGGAAGCTGACGCAGTATGACAGCTAAGAGAAGCCCATACACCACCCCCCACCTCCCACCCCAGTTATAGGAGAAAAAAAGAAAAGAAAAATTGGAAGCATTTATCTCATCTGCTTTCCCCACACCTTGACCTTCCCCACCCTAATCAGTGGTCCTCATGGACAAAACTGTATAAACAACATCAAAAATTAAATTAAAAAATAATTTTAAAAAGAATCTTTTATCCATTGGTTCAGTCCTCAGATGCCCGTAACAACCAGAACTGGGCCAGGCTATAGCCAGGAGACTAGAACTCAATCTGGAAATTGCACACACATGGCAGAGACTCAATGATGGGGGTCCTTATCTGCCGTCTCCCTAGATGTACACTAGTGGATCAAAAGCAGGGGCTGGGACTTGAACTCAAGGAGTTTGATGAAAGTTGCAGGCATCCCAAGTACCAGCTTAATCACTGTGCCAAAAACCCATTCCTTTATGAGAAATTTTAACTTCTTTATTTGTTCCTTCTTGAACTTTCACAGTTTAAGTTCTGAATTTATTTCAACTTACTAATAAAACTTGGATTCTCTCATCCAATGTTCAATGTCCTCCTTTCCTTTTTATGTCCCTTTGAACTGGGAATTCTCTTTCTTCACACGGTTCATAATAAAATCAGATGGGATGCTGGCTACTCAGTTATAAAACCTAATATTAGGGCCAGAGTCATGGCATAGTAGCTTAAGCCTCTGCCTATGGTCCTGGCATCACATATGGGCACCAGTTTGAGCCCTAGTTGCTCTGCTTCTGATCCACGTCTTTGATAATGTGCCTGGAAAGCAGTGGAGAATGGCCCAAGTACAGCACCCATGTGGGAGACCTGAGGAAGTTCTAAGCTCCTGGCTTTGGACTGACCAAGCTCCAGCCACTGCAGCCATTTTTGGGGAGTGAACCAGTGGATAAAAGATCTTGCCCTGTCTCATTTTCCCCCCTTGAAAATCTGCCTGTCCAATAAAAATAAAATAAATCTTTAAAAAACAAAACAAAAACACAAAACCCTAACATCACTTAGCCCACCATGGTGGCATTTGCTGAGTGCCTTGTTGAAATACTATGCATCCCTCGCTATGGGCAACTGCCTAGGTTGCCTTGTACCCAGGCAAGTGTTACACTGCTGGTTGAAAAGCAGCCAATAGCTGGCTGGCATCTTGGACCTGGTTAATGCCAACTCTGTGCTAACTATACCAGTATGCTAGCATAGTTGCCCATTCTATTTTTCAAAAAGTCTTGGGGTGGGGTGACAGATGGCAGAGTTTCCACACAGCCATTGCCAGCACA